GAGAGAGAGAGAGAGAGAGAGAGAGATTGAGACAGAACGATTAAAAGAGAAAGACGGAGAGACTGGAAGAACGAATAAACGAACGAATGAACGAACGATAGAGAAAGAACGAACGAGAGAAAGAAAGAGAATATATGTGAGAANGCGGTCGGCTTTTCTTACCTCTGAGACTTATTACCACGCGACTTCGACAGGAATGTGTATTATATTGTGCGACTATTTCGATCTTAGCGCCGACCAAGTGTCCGCTGTCTCTTCCTCGTTCATCTCGTCAATCGATGGACGATTTTCTCGGTTCCCTTCCTTTCCTCTGCCCCTCCTCCTACTTCGCGACTGTCTTCCTGTGCATTGTATAAACGGGCGGATGTCTTGATGATCATGATGCGCACGATCGATTTTTTTTTGTGTTTTTCTTCTTTTTCTTTTTTTTTTTTTTTTTTTCGTTTTTTGGTTTTTTTCACCATCGTCTATCCCCCTATACCTCGCCCCCTCGTTTGTTCCCCGCTTTAGACGCGAGAGTAGACGACGTCTAACTCTCCGAGGATGTGGTTGGTATCGAAGAAGGATGAGACGTCGAAAGCGGTGGGGTGTGAAGGAAAAAGGAGAAGAGAGCGGTCACACAGTTTGAGAGGGAACTCGGAAGCGTTATCAGAGTCTGAACACCAGGGCATGGAGGGAAGTGCCCTGAATTCGAAGTCATTCTTCTTACGTTTGCCACTTGTCATTATATCGCTTGTCGATTAATTTATTAGCCTGAGTGCGAGAATAAAGTTAGGAGAATATTATATACGCATGTGTGCATGTGTGAAAGAGAGAAAGTCGCGCGTAATGATGATCGCATATTTTTATTGCGATATACACGATTCGTTCATCTTTCGTTTACGAATTTTCTTTCTTTTTTTTTTTTTTTTTTTTTTTTTTTTTTTTCGTTTCCTTTTTTCTTTTTTTCTTTTTTTTTTTTATTTTTTTTTTTTTTTTTTTTTTTTTTTTTCGTTTCCTTTTTTCTTTTTTTCTTTTTTTTTTTTATTTTTTTTTTTTTTTTTTTTTTTTTTTTTCGTTTCCTTTTTTCTTTTTTTCTTTTTTTTTTTTATTTTTTTTTTTTTTTTTTTTTTTTTTTTTTTTTTTCGTTTCCTTCTTACTTTTATTCCTTTTTTTTTATATATATATATATCTTTTTTATTTCGTCCATTTCTATCGTTTCACGTGCTTCGCGTTTTTCACCGCATTCGGTTCCTAGTTAGATTAGCACACCAACCTCCACCAACACGATAAGCGCGGCGTATGTTCGACCGCGCCCACCCCGTACAGTAATTAATTACTTAATTAATTAAGCGATATCGACGGTCGATTCGTGACCGTCGTCTCACTCTCAAGGATCTCGACCATGAAGCAATAAAACAGGGGAGGATAGAATGAGAAACAGAGATGAGATAGAGGGCAAAGAAATTGGATGTGTTACGCCGTGAACGACCTCGCAAATCGATTAAACGAGGATCCGTTCGCTCTTGCTTTTTCCTTTTTCTAACGAAAATTTCTTTCATCCTATATATATATATATATATATATATACATATATATATCTCATTCTTTGACTTTCATCGAGCCATATTTGGCAAACTCCCAAAAAAACGCAAGCACGCGGGAACGTAACGCGATCACGGTACACACACACACACACACAACCATCCTCCTTCCGCTCCTCCAAGAACGAGAGGCAGTTCTCCTATTTGTCTCACGACATACTCCTTCTCCGCCTCGGTCAACAAAGTGCCAAAAAAACGAAGTTTGTTCGTCTCTCTATTTTCCTTTTCTTTCTCTCTCTCTTTCTCCCTCTTCTCATACTTTCTCGGTTTTAAATTTTTTTCCTTCCTTCTCCTTCCTTTTCCACTACATATTCCCGATCGTTGATGCGTTCTCGCGCGCTTTCGTTCGAAACAAACGGCTGTTCGCGTTCGGTCATACGGTCGCAAACAGGCACGGTCAACCACGCGTACTCACATAGGGAGAAGCAGATATAACGGCGTGCAAGTATATATCGACACAGATATAACCACGTAACACACGTAGACGGGACGCGTCTAAATAAGAATAGCGCATAGGTATACATATATTTTTCTTCGAGTAACGGAAGACAATATTTCTCCAATTGCGCGCGAATAACACGAGCAAAACACGATCGCGACGTAGAAAGAGAGAAAGAGAGAGAGAGTGTGTGTGTATGTATGCGTGTGTGTGAGAGAGAATGAGAATGAGAATGAGAAAAAGAAAGAGAGAGAGAGAGAGAGACAAATACATTTCTAAGGGATACTCGTTTCTAGGTTATATTAGAGGTCGCGGATAATAACGCGACAACGCGGTAAACAGGAACCCAAGATTGAGATTAGCTCAGCGTGTTATATTAAGCGATTTTAGTTCGTAAGTTTGAAACAGATTTAAGATAGACTTTTAAGGCGTTCGTAATAAAAACGAGTCGATACTTAATTTATACGTATCCGTGGGCACCGTGTTCCCTGGATTTTTCGAGATGCCGAATATCGATCGAAATTCCGATCTGCCTCCGCTCGGTTCGATCTTCCGCCTCTTTCGATCGATTCGCGTGCTTCCAACATTTTGTCAGGGATGTAACAAATGTCTTCGCCATCGATCCTTAGTTCTCCCCTCCAATGTCTCTCGTGGATATTTTTCCTCTTCTTTCCTATATTACCTCCACCAGAATTCCAATTTCTTCTTTCGATTTCCTTTTTTTTCAAATGAGGCAATAACATTGGTTGGATCTCGAACGACGCGAGACGTAAAGAATCGATCGCGATAGATATGAAAAAATTTCAGATCTAAGAAAGACGCAAATCGATGATTGTTTTATTTATTTATGAAACGTACGATCGACGAAAATTTCGAACGGTCGAGCGGAAGATCGACGATCTTGTGCGTACAGACGCAGCGATTCGATACAATAAAGAAAAAAGAGAGGGAGAGAACCGTCATTGACGAAAGGAACACGGTGTCCCGAAACAAATGTGAGAAACGTCGAGCAATAAGCGATTTACTGAAACTTTAAGCTGTGTACTGTTTAAGTTTAAGGAGATACGGTAAGCGCGATTATGCGAGAAAAGAATTAAAAAGAAAAAAAAAAAAAGACAAAAAAAAAAGAGAAAAAGAAAACGAGAAAAAGAGACGATAATCTGTACGCGTAAAGAAAAAATAATTAAGGGAAAGAGAATTCCGCTCCAAATGAGGATAGAGAGCAAGAACCGGTTGTGTAGAAAGGAAAGCGTGAAAATGGAGCGGAAGAAATTCGAGGTGTTTATCCTCTTGCAAACGACAAGTAATATTCTTTAGTGATATAACTTTAAACATATACTTAATATGTACCGTAATAATTAACGACGACGACAAAGCTCGCGAGTGATATTTATGACTTATAAGAAGGTACTTAGATGATTAAGAAGAAAAAAAAAAAGAAA